ATTCTGTCGGTGCACAAGTTTTCAGCCGTTCATAACGCGTGTATAATTCTCCATAACAGTACGCATATGATATGATTGTAAGAAATACAAGCGGCATCTGAACGCAACGTGTCTCCGGGGCAAACAGTAGATTATTTTGTTTTGTATAACAACAGAAAAATAAAAATAATACTCACCCTCCCCCCGAGTACAGTTCCATAATACAATTATTACCGTACCCGTGCACTGAATAGCTGTACAAACATAACATATTAAGTAAATGACATAATAAATCTACTTTATTTTTTTTTTATTTTGGGTAATTTTACCGCACTCCTCGATAATGTACACATGACCTCAGCACTTTTCACCGGACTGAGACGGTACACTCGTGTTACGAATAACATAAAAAAGTAATCATATAAAAAGAAGAATGACCAAAAACTCATCTTTCAACGCTTAAACATTTTATATAAAATAAAACGAACATTTTTCCGCGTGTCTTTGGGCTCTAAATCATTATAAATCATTATTCTGTTAATTGTCAAATGAAAAATTGCACTTTTCATTCAATCATACACGTGCACTTTGTTGTCATCGATGATGGAAGTTAATATTATTATTATTTTTTGTACTCTTTCTAATAGTATTTAGTACGCAAACTTCCAATCATCCAAGTAAACCGAGTATAACTCTGTGGTTGCGGGTAGTTCGAAATTTGTATTTTGATTCAACAACCAACAGCCCATCAACTCGATCCGACTCTTTTTTCGAAATTATAGCCAGTAAAAGTTCTAACTTAAAAATTCGAACGGTTTTTTTTTTTGTTTTTTCAACTTTTGTCTGTGAAGAATTAAACTTTTTCAACTTTTACCCCCCCCCCCCCCCAAAAAAAATGCAGCACAGTGGTGCTCATTTTGATTTTGTAAGCAATTGTTTTACATCTTATATCTTTAAATTATGGTGTGGTGTATTTTTTTTTTTTAAATAGACCTCGGGATATTTATGTATTTTAGCAAAACAAATACCAAACTCTATACCCCAGAAGAGTTGAAAATTTTTACTTCATTTCTCTTTTTCTCGTAGTTTACAGACTCAAGTCAAAGAAAATAAGAATAAAAGTTGATCTAGAGTGTGACAAATGGTTGATATTAAAAAAAAAAAATCGTCAAAGTTTTCATTATTTTACGATGATTTCGTTTTGCTGAATCGTTAAATCTCGACTTTAAAACTGAAACAACATTAAGCAAAAAGCTTTCAAATAGTTTGAGGCTTCATGGACGTTGTTTTTTTAGAATTTCCAAATAATTTTTGCTCGAAACAAACAGTTAGCTCGAAATGAAATTTACCGTTGGTGTTTCTAAAATTGTCAACGCAAATAACTACTCGACGAAAACCTTGGAACGAATACAACGTGAATCAAATTGTTTGATAGCAAAAACCAATGACTACCCTGAGAAGGAGGCAAAACAACTTAATGTGAGTAACTTAACAGTTTTATACTAGAGAAAGAAAAATTGCGCCAAAATTCCTAATTATAAAACGTTTAACCGTTTTTATTTTTCAGGATACTTTTGTATGTTCTCTCCACGCAAAATACTAGTCTCATCTTGACGTTATGATTTATTATTTTATTAAGTGTTATCGATAGTCTAAAACAGAAATGATTACTATTTTTATTTAAAAAATTATTTTTTATTAGAATAATAATTTATAACTAATTTTTTGTATACAATCTACTACTATATTATATTGTAATATAAGATTTCGCTTTCTATAAAGCAAAGGTGGTAAATTCTCATATCAGTACTGAATTAATTAGCTGTTTATTTAACGAAAGCATGTTTAGAATTAAATAAACTGCGTTTTTATATAGTCATCATAATACCTACCTTGAAAATTTACGATAAGCCGTGCTTTGAAATATTAGACCTGACGTAAAACAACGCGTAATAAACTAAAATGAAGCTAAAAAACAAAATATGTATGTATTGAACTGTGTTGGTGAAGTTTGAGTCATAATATTGGGAAAATAGTTTTTGTAAATATGAAATTATTTTAGCTTCGATGCAAAGCGAGAAGGTATTGGTTTTACTCTGATGTGGGCTTTTTTTTTAACTGTAAGCACTGTAACTTTTTTAATACTAGACCAATTACTTCAAATAGCAACTCTATAAATCACAAATTTTATCTAGTTGGTACTTACGGGGGGTAAAAGTTGAAAAAACAAAAAAAAAAACCGTTCGAATTTTTATGTTAGAACTTTTACTGGCTATAATTTCGAGAAAAAGAGTCGGATCGAGTTGAAATGTATAAGAAATAATTATTTGGTATGCCCGCATACGTCGGTTGTGTTAAACTTAAACTATACCCATTTCCCACCCCCCTAGGGGGGGTACAAGTTTTTTTGTTTTTCAGGGTTTTTAGTGGTAATTTTAAAACTTGTGGGTTGAAAATTTGCCAGTAGTTGGAACTCATATGTATCCATAACATATTAAAAGGGAAAAAAATTCGGCACTGCAGTTTTTTTTTAATTGCCGGGAAACTGTGTTTTCGCAGATTTCATATATTTTAACAAAAACACCTATAATCTTACTTAAAACAATTTTATGTATATCTATGCAGAATGATACTATTAAGTTTTGTGCTCAAGTGCCACTTTTGACTTTAAGTTTACATAAATTAATTTTTTTTTTTAACTAAAAACCCGGTGTACCAGATGTGAGAAACGAACAGACACTAAAAACTATCAGTTGGTAACGTCTATCCATGTTAGGTTAGATTAGGGCCCTTTGGTCGTTATCATAATATTGTGTTTATTACATGATATCACAGACGACTAAATAGTGTAACTGATTATAGTAGATACACGATTTATTTGGAAAAAAACCGATCCGTGTACTTATTAAGACACTTAATGATTCTGATACAACAAAACCACTGTCGTTATCTCGTTATTTTATCGCCTGCGTTATATTACCTTACCGAAGGTCAACTATGAGTATATAAGGTCCAACTACCTGCAAATTATGAAGAGGACTGTTGTTTTTTGGATTCAGATTAAGTGTTGGTTTTTATGCAGTATACCGCCTCAAAATGTATTTTTTATTACACAATTTTTTTAAAGGAAAACTAATGTTTTGCATATTGTTATACTGTTATTCATTTAAAGAGATTTACGCTTGATTGTTTAAATTGTCTAACATTAGATAATCTGCTTCGTGCTAATTTTAATTTTTTAGTTCATAACTTGTAGCTCTAATACTTTATTTTATGACTAGATCAAATCTCGTGAACATTTAACATCATGGTACTGCTCCTATGCTATTATTAAAAAAACACAATTTTTAAAATCTCCATAAAAAGTTATTGTTAAGTAACAGGTAACAGCCGACCGCTAGTGGCTATACACGTTAGTAATATTTAACTAATAAGTAATATATGTAGCTAAAATGTATTGTTTTCTCCATCACAGTACCAGTATACGATTTATTTCAATTTAAATGTAAGAAAATCGATTTTTCTTTAGAAAATAACAAGAAATTAATATACAGGATGAGGCAGTAAAACGGCGATTTTCTAATGTATTTAAATGGTAAAACCCGTTTCACTATCCCTCCCTTTACATTTTAAGGATCTATGAAAAGGTTTTTTAAGTTGCATTTTATTTTGTACATTGTCAATCCAGTAAAATAGAAGTATAATATAGCTTTGAAATAATATAATCTATGAAGTATAAATAGTTTGTGTGAGATTGCTTTAATGGAAGTATAAAATAAATAAATATTAATTTTATTGAGAATAAGCGATTATAATTTAAACTATGGAGTACAAACGATTGAAACATGAATCGTCGACCATTCCAACAAAATATAACAAGACATGTGTATGTGTTATTTGGTCCGCTAAGTTTTTGCAAAAAAAAAAAAAAACAGTACAGTGGGGTCGGTGCATAGTTAGGTCGGGGCATATTGGGGACGGGGAGGTCACAGGTTTACAGGAATTTTTAAATCTGAAAGTAATAAATTCACTTTCGAAAAAACGCTTCGATGCAAATCGGTAGTTAGTATTTTCAAGCCAGTACAGTCCAAACCAAGCACAGTATAAACCAGCAAAGTTAGAAAGTTTTAAATGAAGGTTCTGTATTTACAAATGAGCATCAAAGCGTTAATTTGAAAGTGATTTTATCCGAGAGAATTAGTACAGTAGAGTATTGGCATAATGTAATCAAAGCAATGAGGAAACGGAGAGGTCACAGGTCTACAGGAATTATTATAAATAAAAGTGATAAAATTGAATAAAATCGCTTTTAAATAAACGCTTTGATGCTCATTTGTAAATACAGAACCTTCATTTAAAACTTTCTAACTTTGCTGGTTTATACTGTGCTTGGTTTGGACTGTACTGGCTTGAAAATACTAACTACCGATTTGCATCGAAGCGTTTTTTCGAAAGTGAATTTATCACTTTCAGATTTAAAAATTCCTGTAAACCTGTGACCTCCCCGTCCCCAATATGCCCCCGACCCAACCATGCTCTGTCCCCACTATGCACCGACCCCACTTTACTGGTTTTTTTGGTTTACCAACACAGACAGTATAATGAATTCGAGAACAATTTCATCTTAATATAGTGTTCTTGTTTGAATTTCTTAAGTGAAATAATAAAGCGCAATCTATAAAACTTAAGGAAATTAAAATAATTCAAATTTTACATTTTTCTTTTCTACCAACCTAGAGGTCTTGATATCCCCGTCCCGCCATCGTTGACTCGGTCGTCTCAAGGATCTCTTTTCATCTGATTTTCACGAAGTAGTTTTACTTAACATTTTCTTTTCTGCACGCCAGGCATGTCCTATTATTGGAGGCCATGTCTTACAGGTATAATATAATGTATTGGTCTAATAAGAACTTTATACAATATACATTGTAATTATTTGATTTTTTTATAGCGTTTTTTATTTGAAAAGTGAAATCAACGCTTCGAAGCATCATTATTTGCTGCACTTAATCTTCTTTGCACTTTTTCACATCCACAACTGGTTAATCTCCAAGCTACTTAAAAGTTTTTACTCTTTCAAACCTAATAGGCTAATTTTTCCTACTGCTAATTACGTTTGGTTGTAGACTCTACTTGTCTAACGACAGACTGAGTCACTCTTTAATCTGAAAATTAGACTCAAGGTATTTCTAGCATAGGTAGCTTAAAAACATCAATACATTTTTTTTAAAGAAATGTTTTGTCAAATTTGTTTTTATTAAGGTAAAAACTAAAAACGAAGAATTCGCTTTTAAAGCAATATTGCTGCTTGTAATACCGTTCCATTTTTTGTTGATATAGGAGTAGTGTAACATACTTATAACCGAGTTCATAGTACAACACTCGGGAGATCAATTTAGCATAAAATATACTTTATACATACCGGAAAGTAATAATACCTAATTGTGCATTTTTCCTTTTTGAACATAATTAACGTGTTTGTTGTTTTACGATAAAATATCATTTTTCTAAAGACCTATGATCTCCACAACATAACTGTACCTCCTTTTTCTTAGCTGTTTTCCTTTAAGTTAATCGTGATTATACGCATCAAAGCTGAAAATTTACGACTTACAATACAATACATTAACGTCTTATCTTTGAGGTGACGTAAACCCAAAATGATACCTACTCAAATTTAACGGGATCCAAACGGTATAAATACCAGAGTGTTTATATCAAAATGTATTATTCAATCAAAAGTTGGCACATATCGAATGCTATTTGTTTTATTTTTAAAGCAAACCGTGAATCGAGAAAAAAAAATGAATACAGGTACGTAAAAATAATTTCGTTATTATTTAGTTTTATAAATACATATCAAAATACACTATAAAAAAAAAATTCATTATTTTAACAAAATATATTTTCAACTATTATACTTAGTCGTGGATTTTCCAAAAGATTTTTTGTTCGGCGCTTCGTCCAGTGCTTATCAAATTGAAGGCGCAGTGCTCGAAGACGGTAAGAATAATTCTATTTTATTTTTTTATTTTTCGTTAATTATATTTTTAGGAAAAAAATACATGTACAAGACGAACCAATTAACGTAAGACACTAATTTTCTCGGAAACCCATAACAATTTTATAGTTTTTCTTTACTCTAACTTTTGCACTTATGTTGTTTTACAATGTTCTAAAATAAACAAAATAATTAACTTTTTAATATTATCCATAGTGCCGAAATACAGTTAAAATATAGCACTTCGAAATAAAGGTTTATTCATTTTTTTTCTATCTAGTAGTAGATACAGCTTGAATGTATAGTCCAAGTAACAATTTCATTTTCTCGGAGGAATTAATTTTGGGGGTTTTAACGAATAACATAAGTTTAGTGGCGTTTTCCAAAATAAGCGGAGTAAGCAGCTTTCCTTGGTGTTTTATAGGAGTTATATTTTCAGTTATGGCCTAAGTCCCCCCCCCCCACACGTGTTCACTAATAATATTTTAGGAGTGGAATATTTATAGTGCCTTAACATTAAAAAAAGTTAAATCCACCCGTCGACATGACACTTCATTTTATTTATATAATATTCAATGTCTTATAGTGTTGATGAATCAAAAATAATATTTGTAATATGAAAGTATAAAATAATGAATTTGAAATTTTAATTTTATGCAAGTGTTTTTATTTATATAAATACATACTGTCCCGATCCGGCGTTGCTCGTGTATTAGAAAGACACACAATCAGCTGATCGGATCACTGTATCCATGTAGTATGAAAAACCATAGAGATGTATTGATAACTATTGATAATCATAATTAATTAAAAATTAAAAACATGTTCTATCGGATCAAATTGTGAATCTAAAACTTTCTCGAATCAACTTAATCGCGCACACAAAATTTCATAAATATCTGTCCAGCCGTTTAGGACAAGTTTGCATACTTACACACGGACAGAAGAAATTTATATATAAAGAAGATATATCCAATGTATTTGTATTGAACATTTCAAAATAATCAAAACCGTTAAAAATCACATTTTTTGTGAAAGTCATCGAATTTATAATCTCATTCCATTCAATCACAAAAAAAGAAAATATATGTGGATAAAAAGCTGAGAAGAAGTGATGTAAGATAACATGTTAAAATGAATAGAATGGTGAACGAATCCGTAAATGCAATTTAAATTAAAAAAAATAATAATTTTTTCAATTATTTAATCATAAAAATATCGATTTAAATATTTTATTACAGGAAAGGGTGTGAACATTTGGGACGTGCATTTGCATAAGAAACAAACTTCGAATCTCGTATGTGTCAAGCGCCCGAAAGATTTACCGGATAAACACAAGGGAAATGCCAAGTTTGTGGGTATTTCAAAAATGAATCACATTTTTATGATTTCGGGTGACAATTTGACAAACCCCACCTCCAATGCTGATGTTGCAAATGCCAATGTTGCCAATGCTGATGTTGCATGTGACTCTTATCATAAGACTGACGAGGACATCGCCCTTCTGAAAGAACTCAGCGTGAGTTTAAAACATTTTGTCAGTCTTCAGACAATACGTTTAATATTGATGTATGCAATTCTATACATTTTATATTGTAGGTTCAAGTATACCGATTTTCGGTAAGCTGGTCGAGAGTTTTGCCAACCGGATACGATCACGAACCAAATGATATCGCGATTAAACACTATCAAGATTTCATCGATAAATTACTCGCCAACAATATTCAACCAATGGTACGAAGGTTTTAATAGATAAAATATAAATAGTTAATGAAGTTAGCTTATTTAATTAAATAATTGTATCATAATATTATAATTAAGTAGTATTTTTAATGTTTGTAATAGCAAAATTATGTTAGTTATGTTCGTTAGTGAAGCTACTAAAAATACTTAGACCGACGTATGAAAAAAATAACTCTGTGGATGATTTTTGTGGACATTAGGGATAGTAAAATTATTTTGTTTACATCTAGTGTAAAAATTGTGGCATATTGATTTTGTTAAGTTATTCTTTATTATACACCCCCCAGGATAGTTATTAGTAAATTAATTATTGTACAGGTAACTATGTATCACTTCGATCTTCCTCAAAGATTACAGGATGTTGGTGGTTGGGCAAACAATTACATTTTGGGATGTTTTGCGAGCTACGCCCGGTTTTTGTATAAAACATTTGGAGATAAAGTGAGTTAACAGTTTTTATTTTGAATCGTCTTCAATTTAATTATTATAGTGTGTACCTATAATAATAATATGCTCTGATTACAGGTGAAACTGTGGACAACAATTAACGAACCAAGGATGGTGTCCGAAGGCTATGGAGGATTTTATGGGTGTGCTCCAAATTTGGGTGAAAAATTCGGCGGTATTGGAGACTACTTGGCTATTCGTAATATGATGCTTGCTCACGCTACGGCGTACAGAATATACGAAAATGAATTCAAGTCCACTCAAAATGGTAACAGCTTTAGAATTATTGCTTGATTGATCGAGTGATAGGTTTTCGTCTATGAACGTTTGATAAAAATATTCGTGTACAAAGTGGTTAACTATTATGACCCATTTAATATCACAGAGAACGTTAGACTTTTTTTAAATCATTTTTTTGTTTTATTTTTATGGCCAATATCTCACTCAATTTTGGTATATTTTTAAAAAATATTACCCCATCCGTTTAGGTGTTAAGCCTTATAAACCTTTCTTAAACGTTAACTTGGACTTTTGAAATATATTATAATATGGTGAAAACTTCGACTAGTCCATAACCAGTTTCGAATAATTACTTTTAAAGTTCTCAATTTAACCAAAAACCCTGTATAATATTGAAGTTTGAAATCACTGCGTTGTACGTTTGCCAAAAAATTCAATTATTAGTGTAATTATTTCTAATCATACGTCGATTGCGTTTATGTTTAGGGGAAGTTACCATATGCTTCGATGTGACTTGGGGATTCCCGCGTAATGAAAAGGACGAAAATGATTTAAAAGCCTCAGAGTTGGTGTTACAACATAATGTATGCATACAATTTATCTTAAAAAAAATATATATATATAATAATAATATATATTTGTATATACATACAGGGTGACCCTTGACATTTTAAAAAAGGCAAAATAATATTAATTAAAAAAAAAAAATGTTTTTAACTTATGTAATATGTTTACGGGTGTACGCTTTTTACGAACACCACCTTCCTGAACTCATTTTTACTAATTTAATGTAAATGTAAAAGGTTTTCGTGGCCACCCTGTATATAATGTTATATATGCATTTATAAATATATATTATGTAAAAATTCATCATTTAGCTGATTTGTTTATTTCACTGCTAATTTTAAATATTTTTACATGCGATTTTTTACTTAGGTCGGTATATTTATTGAACCGCTGGTAAGTGGAAACTTTCCAAAAATCGTTGTGGACTGTGTTGAAGACACAAATAAACGGAAAGGAATTAATACTCGGCGAATTATTCCGTTCACCGAAGAAGAAAAAAAAGTACTCATAGGTACTCAATATGTTTTGTTTTTAAAAATTGAAAATAATTTAAATTGTTTAAGTTTAAAATCAACTGTAGATTATGACAAAATATTAAAGTACATAATATTACACATTTATAAGTTACATTTATTTTTTATTTATGTACTAAGCGATTTGTTTTTGAAACCACCAAACCAGAGCTAAATATTGTTCATAATTAATATTAATAATAAAAAGCGTTAATTCATTTAAAACTGACTAATTGTGTTACATTTCTTTTTTTTAAGGTTCTTACGATTTCATGTCATTTAATTATTATACCGCTATGAGAGTGTCACTAATGTCTGAGGAAGAACTGGAAAAAGAAACGGATTTGAAAGTCATCGATAAAAAAGTTAACTCAGGGGACTGGAAAGCGCCTCACGAACCGGAAGACGTAAATAATCATAAAGTCTACTCGATAATGTCGTATAATATTACAAACAATTTTTTTTATTTTTTTTAGAATTATAACGGATTTACGAATATTTTAAAATGGTTAAGCGAAAAATGTAAGAAGGACACCAAATTCTTTATTTGTGAAAACGGAGTTGCCGACGAAAAAGAGAAATCACCCGAAGAAAACACTAAAAATAAAATTGAATATCATCGTGTAAGGATGCTTATATTTTTAAAGTTTTTAAAACAGAATGGGGGGGGATGCGGTAATGAATGCAGATAAAAATAACAATACACTCCACGCTTCCTCCCGTCCCAAATTTAAAAACCTTGATAACTTTAAAAGTAATTCAAAGTAATCCAAGTAATCCAAAACTGGTTGTCGACCAGTGAAAATTTTCAGCAAATCATTCTTAATCTAAATCTAAATGTAAATTAAATACATAAATTACCATTTAAGTTTCAAAAACTGATAGAGCTCATAATAACTTACATTAAGTGTAACGTTAAATGGATCACCCGGTATTGTTCTTTATGATTTTGGTTACTTGTTGAATCCTTCTCGTACCCAAAATCAGTAAGAGGTTAGTTCGGGAGGGTAAATGAGAAATTTAATTGAAAATTAGTAACATTGATAATAACACAGTACGTTATTTGATTTTGCAGGGTATTTTAGTGGAGTTGAGTAAAGCTTTAAAGAACGATATTAATGTTTTCGGGTATTGCGTCTGGTCGCTAATGGATTCCTTTGAATGGGGTAATGGATACAAGTAAGTTGAAAACATCTGTAAACGTACGACATATTTTTGTTATATATTTAAGTAGTTTCAATAATTTTATTTCGTGTAGGTATTAATACTTTAATAGTTATTACTAATAATTCAGTAAATATACTTAAATATTAATGATATTACAATAATATATATACCATTTAAATACACAACCTATAGAATTTCAAATAATTGTAGTTACAAAAACAAATTAAATTACCTTAGTAGTATAGTAGAAAAATAACAGATTATCAAACATCTACATTAAATACTAGCATTTCAATTTACATAACGGTTAACCCGAATAATTTATTGCGTATATTAGGTATAGGAATAATCGTTCTTTAAAAACGTGCAAATGTTAACTCTAAATTGATCTCATGTTTCATATTTTTCAGTGATAGATACGGTATTTATGAGGTGGACTTTGATAAGTCAGACAGACCTCGTTCAAAGAAAGGCTGTTTTGACTTTTTCAACAAGTTGTTCCAGGAAAAGAAGTTACTACCACTTACGTCAAGCTGAACTACAAATATTTTTTTTTAACATAATCTAAATAGAACCATAAACTAATTTTTCTTTTTAAAAATAGTTGTTAGTAAAAAAAAAATGTACTCGATTAATAGATTTTTAATAGATTTATTTTAACAATATATAATATTATTATAATTTTTGGGTTTGTATTTGGTTAATTCGTTGTTAAAGTGTATTATTATTATTTATATGTTAATATATCTAAAATTTGGTAAACTCGGAGAAAAATTAGAACGATTTTGTGAATGAACGGATACTAATAAACGCACTCTGTATAATTTGCTTTCTTGTTAAAATATAACATAACGTTGCATTTCTCGTGTCTTATGTGCAACAATAAAATATTCTACTACAATTCTTACGACCTTTTGCACATAGATAATACACCGCAATTGCCATTAAATGGAAAAATATTAATTACTAAACTTTTTTTCTTCTCAAAACTGACATTAAAACCCATACTAGTATATAATATTGAAAATTGTCTTTAACGATTTTGTTTCAGTATAATATATACTTTTCGGATTTCGAAAACTAAATAAATAATTATTCCAAATAACACCAGCTGTCATAATATTATTGGGGTGACGGGCTTCAACTATCCAACATCGTTACGAATGTGTGCAAATTGCAAAAAGTGAACGTTCAACTTCTATGGATCTATTTCCGCCGTGTTTTTAATTTTTTTTTTGTCATCGGTAATATTTTATCATTGATTTTAATCAGGTTTAACGATACTTTAGGTTGGTCTTTATTTCTGTGATGGAAGCAATCATTTCCATTTCTCTAAATCTAACCTGTAAGTCATATCGAACGTTTCGGTAAGCGTTTTGTACACCTCACACACATAATATCAAAAGGACACTGAATTTTTTATGGGTTTAGGCGTATTAGTTACATAAATAATAGACAATACAAGTTTAAAAACAGTACTGGTAGTACTGGTAGTACATTCGAGCATTTATACCAGATCGTACTAATATCTTAGTACATATAACTGTCTTAATACATACTGAGAGAGTGCTTGTGTGCCACTTGTTTTTTTTTCAAATTTTCTATGACTTCAATCGCATAATTATTATCAGTTAGAAAATACAGGATTGAAAATAATTATATTTCGTTTTTATTTCTGCGGTTGGTGATGGCGACTGGCACATAATAATAATTTTAAAAAATCGATGAGCAATATGTGATACTCTTGTGTTAGGCGTGCCATCGCACATGTTTGCATACATTGCATGTATGCAAACATGATGTTCTTCTCCTATCCGCTGTTTTCGGTTGTAATTTTTACATGCATTTGGCAAAGTAGTGAGTCGCCTAGGTGTTTCGGTATAAAAAATTATGACAATACTTCATCGGTTAAATACATAGAGAAACTGTTGAACATCGATACAGGATACGAAAGCCATACAACGAACAGGTCGTTGTCCGAGCTAAGAAAATGTCCGGCAGAAGAAAGGGCGGCCGTAAGAGACGAAATTTACCAAGAACTCGTTTGTAGCTTTGTATTCAATAGTTGCCATTTCATGAACCTAATGAGATATCTGTTGTCCGACGGAGGTATAGACATGTTGAAAAGCCTAATTAAGAATAATAACCCAATTCACACCGATGTGATTTCATTCCGAGACGAAGTCGTCGGCATGTTGCACGTTCTGTATCATTTCGGGTTGGCCAAAGCTATGGATCCGTTATGGCTAATGTACATGTACACAGACCGTTTAGCACGTATCAATAAAAACCTTACCGAGTCCGAACGAACCCTTTTTATGAACGATCACGAATACGTGTACCCAGAGATGGGCAGAATTATTAATCCCGGATTACTGGATTATTTTTTAATTAATCCAAGTGATCCGTTATTCAAAATTGCGGATTTATGGATTACAAATAATAATTAATTAGTATACTCTGCCCTAGTAGGTACTTTAACAAAGCTCACGTTTATCTAGCTTAAACACATTTTATGTAACAACACTTTTTTGTCAATTTGTTAAATAAATTATTTTGTTATTATTGTTTAATTTTATAATCTGAAAAATATGATATTATCCCATAATCAAGTTAACATTTTACATTTAAAATTTTGAAATCTTTAGACTTTCGTATGCAGAAATCGGCTTAGCGGTTTAGTTTTACTCCTAGTAAAAATAAAACACATTATTGTAAAAACAATACCTCCCAGCTTCGCATAAAAGAAAAAAATGATTTAAATACATTTTAATTTAAAAAAAAAATTATTTAAGTACAATGTTTTGGATTACTGGAATGAAAAAAAAACAGTAATCTTTAAGTTTGGGTTATTGGAATAAAACAAAAATCCTAAATTAATAATGTAATCCGTAATCCGTATACTAGGGATTACTGGATTAATAAAGTAATCCGTAATCCGAAACTCGGGATTACTAAAATAAAATAATCCAAACTTTTTTAATTCTAGATTAATAATGTAATCCGTAATCCGTTAACTAAGGATTACTGGATTAAATTTAATCCTTAATCCAAAAATGTAGGATTACTGAAATAAATGTAATCCAGTTTTTTTATTAATCGTGGATTACGATTAATCCGTAATCCGTCTGTAATCGATTACTGATTGTAATCCATTTTGCCCATCTCTGCGTGTACCGAACACTAACAGAGTTCACTAACAGCCAAAAATGCAACAGGAAAAATAAATATCAAAACGACCAGAACGACTTATCCGTGTACTTGTCTCAACAGTTAAAAAAACTGATCGATACTGCTTCGATAACGGAAAATTTGATACACGTCCAATTTATTAGTGTCTTTCGCAACACAATCCAAGAGGAAATCAGTTACATAAATAACTGTTGAATATCGAAAACCATGCTTTCCATCATTTCCCGTTGAAGAATTTGAGTTTGAAATCTATATTGGGCAACGTTAAAATTATGGAAAATTTACTTGTTCATTTTGCGGAGATCGGGTACGTTTGGAAAAACACCTATGTAAGAGTACTTACTGACTGTTGCAAACCCATTGAAGACACGGTGTCGGTTAAAGAATTAATGGAAAACTTACACAATTTTATCGATATTTTTAATGATATTATGCGTTACATATTAATGTACACTTCATGGAAATATGTAATGGAAATTAATTTTGTTCTTCCTTACTCTGATGAACAGGAACAAGCTCTTGAAATAGATGAACCGTGGACCGTGGAAAAATGTGAAAACAAAATTGACACATCCAACCAACTAATGTCGGATTGTTTAGATGAAATTATTAGTATTATAAAGTATAGACGAAGATGTAGAATTAAAACCCTTCGTATGGTTGTTTACAATGCCGCCGACTAAATTTTTAGTTGTACAAGAAAATAAACAAACGAAAGACAAAATTTTAGTTGAAAAATATCGATTCAAAATATATTGAATTCCAAGAAACAAAATTTAAAAACACCAACTTTAACAAAACTTATTTTGTGGAAAGATTAAAGTCATTGCACAATATGGATTATTATGACGATTTGCGTTCAGTTAAATCGGTATTGGCGAAACGCCCATTAAAGATTGCAGAAAGTTTTTTTATTTTTCGCATGTACATAAAATAATGGTTTCGTGACGTACATTTTAAATTGATTCGTATATTTCATAATTTCTTGAAGAATTATAAAGAGCTGTTAGAATGACTAAAATATAATTAAGTGCAAATGAAATACTGTAGTTCATTGCAATCAAATATAAAATAAGCTGTAAGCAGTTTTCATGCAACAATTATTTATATATATATATATATATATATATATATATATATATATACCCAACTCTTTAAACAGTATTTAAGTCAATTGTAACCATTTCATTAAACTTTTGTGTTATGTTGTACCAATTTATACAATATTATCAATTCGTTGTTTCATTCTCTGTTATTTTATTTTATATTGTACTGTACTTGAGCCTACGGGCGTTTATTCAATAAAATAAATAAATAAACAAATATAATATAATTATAACTATTTTACTTACCACTCTAAATCGTAAAACAAATTATTAAAAAAATAAAATTAGATCCGACTTGAAAACTTTCCTAACCTATCCCAATTATTGGCTATTAATTTATTTTACCTTTTACAAGTATTCGAAATTAAAACAAAAATCAAAATCCGTCTAACAGATACGCCAGAAAATGACCTATACGAAATTCATTTTTTTTATAAAATATTAACCATAACTAGGAGAAAAACACTAATAACTTAACTTCCTATCGAAGTCGTTCCTTAAAACAATTAAAACGCTATTACAGATATAAATTACATTTTTTTACAAAGCAGTCACATTTGGCGAATCAAATTATATTTTCGGATAATCGGTAAACAGTAGTGGCTACACTGTTTGTACATTTTTCTTGTTATGAGTGTCTATTAACACATTTTGACCATATAGAAATATTGTAGAGGAGCCGCTCAAGAGTTGCCGTTTTCAGTGCAGCCACTTTAAAAGAAATCCATATTTTTACGATAACTAGTATAATATAAATGTGGCAACGGTGCAACACTACTTCTGTTATCGTTTAATGTTACTTATCGCCACGATTTAAGATGATATTATCATAAAATTTACTTATCACAAAAAAAAATATGGAATCAGGTTCTCAAAACGAAATGTTTATACGTACAGTCAATTTTCTTTTATTACTATGGTGAAACTGAAAACATGGAAACATAGGTATGCTTGGACAGCGAACTATAATATAGTGTGTACATTATATTTTGAGTACAATGTTGAAGTTGAGTAAACAATGTTACATTGAAAATAAAATAAAATTTGAATCGTTATTTACTACAACGGTGTATATTACTAGGGTTGACTGTGGTCGGCACTGTAAGTTATAAGACGTTTGCGATTGCAATTTTCCTCGAATCTGATGTAACCTCGTACGTAAAACCCAATTCGAAAAACCACCTGTCTATTATCTCTTCAGTGCAGTTGTCGATTAAGTCTCCGATGTAATTTAACAACGATATACTCGTGTTTTTATTTTCGTGGTCGGTTGTAATTGTTCTGTGGGTTATGTGGATATATTTTGGTATGACACATCGACGTCTTACAAAATACTCCAAGTGCTTGTGCGATATGCGTGTAAAAGTCGAAGTGATTAGGTTCATCTTGGCTTTGAGCCCATCGATTTTCTCCGTATCCCGTGCGACTCGGATGGAATCGCTTAGCCGAGACGTTATGTCCGATATGAAATTGTCCAACTTGATCAGAGCCAACGATACTGTGTCCGGATCGTCGCTGTTCGACGGCGGATACAACGCCTGTATAAACTGTAATGCGGCGAAACACCACCCGAACTTTGCCAAGCTTAGCCAGAAGCATATCGTGGCATTCGGTAAAACGGCAGGGAGAATATAGAAAAAAAACAACGTCTTTTCGACATTGGCGTACTAAGGCAAACAACAAAGCTCTATATTTGGATATCATTTCGGCGTATTTGCATTTCAGTACTACAATGATCTGCTGGAAACCAGGTTTAATGTTTCTACAATTTACCACAGTTGAATTTGTCCGGAATATGGACGACGCTAGAATGTACTCATCACTGGCAACGTGCTTCGTATGGAGTCCTGTATAGACGGAAACGTCGTCAATGTTCATCCATCCCGGTCGATTGACTAACTTGTTCAATTTTTTTGCGAGTTCCTCCATATATCCCGGAGAGACGTCGTCAGAAACGTTTTGTGAAACGAAATACTCAAATGATATTAGCAATATTAACACAAGCGCTGTCGAATTATACATGATGACAATGGTTGTACGGTTTTTTATTATAATATGTATCACTCTACACTGTCTAAGCGGCGGCAACGCAAAACTGACAAAAGAAAGCCTAGTGTCTTAGGAATATGGTAAAAAAAAAATTTGTGTTTGTTCAAATAACTGCAACTTGTTTGCTTTCCGTACGCTCAAAGGTTCTCGAAAAAAATTACAACTTTGAACTCCCGAATGAATACTACTCAGTTTTGAAAACAAATGAAATTTAAACCCCAAATTTTCTTTTATTAAACTCGTCGTGCGGAATTTCAATACACACAGTTATATTTCTCACTTCCATCGCTTGCTGATGGTTTTATTTAGATTTCACAACTGTTGTGTTCGTACATTATTTGTATCTGAAATATGTATTCCAAAAAAATAGTTCTTTTAAATATTAAATACACTGTCAGAGTGTACCTATCTAATAATAACTGTTCCTAAAAAATGTTGGCATGACCTGACCATAATACTCTGAAACTTTCTTATAACTAATCAATTGGACAATATCCCCTGACCGTGCATGAATTTAGCTAACAATGATAAACAAAATCATCAAAAACTGTACGAATGAGCGCTGGTTTGTCAATTTGTATTCTTTCATTACTAGTATTATTACTATTATCGAACCGTAGTGCTCGTAATACTAAATGAAAATGTGTTTTAGGCATAACCGCTCTAAAGCAATCATCATTTGACCAATAAACAGATAAATTTAGGCGATTACTCTCATCATAACACTGAGGTAATCTATTGTTCGCATTTGTCTATAGTTGTATCTAAATCGTCACATTAAATTTGACACATTCCGTTTCATATTTTATCAAATAACAGTCGGTACATTTCTTAAATAACTTTGTCAGCAAAGAAAAGTGGTCAACATTCTAAATTTGATTTTGCTTTTTTCGTATTGGGTTTGAGGTTTCACTCCTGGTACTTTGGACTCGGACTAATATGAATTTGAAATATTTACATACATTTTTTTTGTAGCTTTCCATTAAATTTGCAAGGTTTTACTACAGTTACAGCATTTTGTTGCAACAGTTCACCATTAAGTTAACCAAGCTAAAAACATTTTAGTACAAGTTTTTAAAAATGTTTAATGTATTACATTGGTTTTTTAGTAGAGGTTTACATGATAAATTTATAGAACAAAGTATTTGATGTGCTTTAAATAACTATATATTTTTAAAACATGATTTTTCGTAAAATCATTTTAACAAAATTTTAACAATTATTTTTTAATTGTTGTACAGTAAATGTATTGTCATTCATGTTTACAAAAATAACATAAAATAAAGGACTTGTATATAATAACTAAATAAAATGTTTACTTATTGACAGCATATAGGTACATGCACATTATTCTACGTAGACACAATACAAATGTAACAATAATTTATGGGCTAGCCTTTATATAGATTAAGTTTAAATGTATACCTATGAAAATGATTAAATTTTGCGTACTTCACAGACGCTTTGTTGGTGTAGAGCATGTGCAATTAATATCATTTATTATTAATAATTATTTGTACATAATCCGGAACTATTTCTCCATAATACTTCTCAACATTGGCTTTGTAGTCATTACCGCTGAAACCATTAAATCATTTATTTAAAAAAAAAATCGTAAAAACGATACTAATTATCTAATGACATTTTACTTCTGATTCTTATTGACACCAAGTAACACATAGTCAATAATTTAGTCACATTATTATTATGTCCTTTACTATTTATTAGAAAAAGCTATAAGATAATAAAGTAACTATTTCGCTTAGCGTAAGAATTGTTTTAAAATGTAATATTTAAATAAAAACTAAAATACAATACTATTGCTTACACAGAGGAGTACACTTCAATAATTTCTGAAAAAAAATTGAAGAAGTTTATTGAAGTTTCTTTAATTTTATATGTTCCAAAATAGAACGAATATGCAATTACTTTTCTCTGGAAACGGAGATACAAATTCTGTAAGATAACGAAAGTAATATATTAGTATAAATTTATTCAAGAATTAAATATCATTGATACTCCTCACTTGTTTCAACGAATCCATATCTTATCGTGCCGGCTAAAATACAAAGAACCTTAAATTTATTTAAACACTTATTTTTCCTATACTTTTAGACTGTGTGGATGTAGGAAAATTTGTAAAAAAATAAACAATGCTTGTATGTATTGTTATTTAATATAAAATTCAGCAAGACAATGGCGACGACATTGTTGTCGGCATACAACATTAAATAAATGAACAGTGTAGCCATAAGTCACAGAAAAATTTAAAAAAAAAGGAAATACCTGAGTATTGTCCTCACTGGCTAAAAGTCATTATGTCTGACCGTTTTTTAGTAAGCTCTAAGATACCCTTCTGTTTATTTTGTGTTCCTACGCTACTCTTCATAGACATTCGTGGGATTTTAAGTAAAATCTATGTGACAGCATTAGAAGTATTGACAAAATTGATAAAATATCACTGATTAAACTAACATTTATGAGATCTATTATTTATAAAATGTTATAAATAAAATTTTGTTTATTTTTATGATCATCAATGATTTATTACATTTTATCATTTCCATGGATTATTTATGATTACTGTTATAAATATTTACAATATTTTTAAAGTATACATTCCCCCCTCCCCCCAAAAAGCTTTTCTTGTGGTGGCTAACACTTTTGGAGAGTAATTATGCTATAGTAAAAAAAAAAGGATTTAATTATGGGAAAATGTTTTATTTTAATTTTAGGATTAAACCTCATTAGTTGTACAGCCGTAAGCTATGATGTTTTACTTTTTTGTATTTGAAAATAATACTTACCGCAAAATACAACACCAATGAAGTCACCTTTGATTAAATTTCCAGCTTTACTATCTAAGAAAAAAATGATAAATGCAATGTAACATAATGATCTGTGAATGTTAGTCTAGGATATTAGGCAACTATACTGTTGTGTACCTATTGTATTTGTTATTAAAATCTAATCAAATTTGTCTATTAGTAAGAATAATGTAATCTGTATTAGATTTTTAAGTTAAACGATGAACTTTATTATGTAATATTATATTTATAAGTTGTAATTATGGTTACCTCTTTTCTTAACTTTTCAAAGTACTAAACAAATTATGCAATGATAAGAAACTAGTTAAGAAAAAATAAGACAACTAGATCAGTAAAAATTACCATAGTTTAAACATGAGCAGTATAAATCAACACAATCTAAATCTAGAACGTCGTATTTTTCTAAAACTTTTTTATTGTTTATTCGCTACTTTTTCTAATGATTATTCCATACGAATTTAAAAATTATGTTAAAAAAGAAATTTGAAAAGTTTAAATAAAAAAAAATGTGGTCATTTTTTGGATGTTTATCTCAATTTTGAAAAAATTGGTTTTTTTAAAAATTAATTGGCGTAGGTACAATATTTTCTGATTTACAGGCTTGCTTTAAATAAATACCTTCGATGTGATAAATGTAGCAAAAGTACATACGAAAATTTAGTCTGGTTAGAAATTTGCGAAGAGTAAAATAACAAAAACATATTCGTACTACAAGAATAAAGTACACAATTGAAATATCTATTTCTAATATTGTCTATATATTTTTTTGTTACATCTGCGTGGTGTATGCGGCCTTTCGTTAAGTCGACCCAGTGCATATAGCCAATTCGGAATTTTCCCTCCGTAAATACACTCAACATTGGCTCGGTAGTCGCTATCGCTGAAACCATTGGATATTCATTATATAAAAAAACATAGTAAAAACGATACTAATTATCATAAACTTCATAAACGATATTTGACTTGTGATTTGTGTTCAAAGTTCAAAAAAAAAAACCGTAGTCGATAATCTAGTCCATAACGTAGTATTATTTAATTTACTATTTACTAGAAAATCAGAAAAGTTAATTAAGTAGCTATTTCAACGAATCGTCATATTTTGTTAAAATTGTTTGAAAATGAAAATACAAAACTACATTACAATAATATCACTTACGCGAGCTTATACACTTTCAAAATTTCTGTAAAAAAAAAAGTTAATTAAAAATTTCGTTTTTAAATGTTCCAAAAAACATTATAACTAAATAACAAATTGAAACGAATTAACTTTCAAGCCAACAATTGGAAAACAACAATATGGTTTACTTTTCTTCGCCCAAATATATAGTAATTAAAATGGTTTATTTAACACTTTAAAAATAGTTGTAATTTAAGTTATGGACTTATTACATTGTGTACTATAATAAAATAAATATTATATAATTACTTAGGCCTGTAAACGGAGATACGCCATCTGTGCGATAATAAAAGTAATAGAACATTAGTACAAAAGTGTCTAGGAATTGAGTATCATTGATAATGCTCACCTGTTACAACCCAACCAAATTTTACCGTGGATGCTAAAATAAAAAGAGACAGAGACTGAAGATGAAACATTGTTGCCGAAATACGTGGCATACGCAAAGAGTGTATTATTTTAAGGGTGTTTTTAATATTATTCTATTAAAAAGAAACATTTATGTTGCCACATTTATTTTTTTTTATACTTTTATGTGTAAAAAATAAACAATGTTTTCAGTATTTTGTGACATCATAAATAATCGGCTGTGTGGCCACCACACGCACTAAAGATTCAGAAATATGAGGCTACACCGCGTTCATGTATATTGAAATAAAATCCTTTTGAAAATTGACAGCATTTGTAGTATCGGTAGAATAAAGATAAAGGTCTGCAGGTTGTAATATGTAAACTAACTGAGCAATAGCATAATTGAATACGTTCAAACTATTGATGCATTTATGTTTAGAAAATCATGTAATTTTTTATTAATTAATATTTATAGAATAGCGGATTATTCGAATACGGTTTTAATGGAAATTACTATATCAAAAGTTATATAAGCCAAATATTATTATAATTTGTATAATATGTGTATAACATTTAATATAAAAGAAACAATATAATATATAACATATTATGTTATCCGATTTGTTAACCGGATTTGTCCGATTCTGAATACAGATCATATTTTTTTAATTGCAAATAGGATGATTTTATTTTAAATTGCATAGCCTACATATTATTAGCTTCGATGCGGAGCTGAGAAGGTACTGGTTTTACAATGATGTGTTTTTTTTTTTTGTGTCTGGACCCACGATATCTCGTAAACTGCTGAACCGACTTCTTCGTGTAGCAATTCTATAGATCAGAAATCATACCTGGAAGGTACTTTAGTAGGCCAAAAATTAAAAAAAAAGTCACCCCTTCCCCATTAAAATCGAGAAAAACACTCAAAAAATGTACAACATTTTTCAACTTGAAATTACGATGCTCTAGAACTTTTTTAAAAATAGTCGAAAAAATTCCAAATTTATGTTAATTGTTCTTCAAACATAGTACTATCGATGAACATTAACAAATCAAAAAAATATCATAAACCCTTTCCCTTAGAAGGGATCAATTTTTTTTCTTTATTTCACTTTTTCAAGCAAAGTTTTAGAGATTTAGATTTGAAAATTAGACTGAAGGTAGATCTAAAACGGAACTATAACATATACAATTTTGTCAAAAATCTGTAGTCAAATTTTTTTTACACTATAGAAAAACATCAAAAATAGGGTAAATTTTCACTTTAGCCGTAGTCAGTTTCTAGGTTGCTGTGTGTGAGTGAATCAACAGTCAACAGGTAATGAAAATATTTTCATTGTATTGTTAATTACGATGTATGGGCAACTATGACAGTACATTTTTATAGACAGACGATCAACCCTTATCGTGTCCACCCTGCACAAGACTAAATATTACATTTTAAGTACATCATTGCTGGTCCCACGTTATCTTATAACCGCTACAACTGGTTTGACATACTATCCGCAGATTCGCACCGAATCGTTTATTTAAAAGTGATTTTATCACTTTCGGTTATACTAAAATCTGTAGACCTGTGACCTCTTCATGTCCCCACTATGCCCCGACCCACTGTACTGGCTTTTTTTTTTTTGTATTTGAAATCAATACTTACGGTATTCTTTGACACCAACATAGTCACCTTGTTTTAAGCTTTCAGCTTTTATGTCCTCACCAAGACCTGTAAAAAAATTGATTAAGTTCTATTGTGAGATGGAGATAAAGTTTAAAATGTTTATTCAATTGGTTACCCCTGATCGCGTTTCAGTGTACGGTTAATGTTAGAATGAGTAAAGAATTTCCCAGGATGTAGACTATAGTCTAGGAGGAGGTCACAGGTTTAATGTAAAGTCAAGGAAAAAGACCGGATAAGAAATTCTTCTAGGAACATTTGTCTGAAACTACATCCTAGTGATTACAGGGCGAATTCAATGAGACAATAAAAAAAAAATTGAAAAATATCAGAAAGACTAAGTTATAAAACCAAAGACTATATAATTAACTTTGCAATATAAACAAGTTACAGCAAATTTCTGATGATATGTTTTTATTGAAATTAATTTTTTTTTTGAAACGTTTTTCATATTAGGCAGTGTGTAAATAACACATAGTTGAAAGAATCTTTTTCTTTTCGAGCAAAGTTTTAGGACTTTGATGAAAGTTTGACTAAAGGTGGATCTTGCGTGGGACTAAATCATATACAATTTTCTCAAAAATCGATAGACAAACTTTTTTTTCCATAATAGAACCAAAAAAGGGGGGGTATCACCTTTTGACCGTAGTAAATATTTAGGTTGCTGAAACCATTACCTTAATCGTATCCATTGATATTAGCTCATAGTATACATTTTAAACCTACACGTGAATTAATTTTAGTTTAAACTTTTGCCATTGGAATATTGCTGAATGTTATGTTTTACATTTTTAACGTATTGAAGACATGTTTTAAATTGTGTTATTTATTAAAACAAGAAGAAAACATATTTTGATGTGATATTTTGTATGCTTGTTCAAACAGTTACTTGTTAGGTGAACACCAAATGCACTACATAAGAAATAATTTATCCAAAACGAAAACCACATCTTCATCAACATCGACCTAATTATATTTTTTTAAGTATCTAAAATTGTAAAAAACAGTAACAATTTCTTTACTTCACGATAGCTTTCCCCTCAGCCTATTTATCTCAAAATACTAATAACTCCTTAAATATTTAAAAAACATAGCATTAACACACAGCAGTATTTTTTTTTATTGCCTATTTGCCTTAAATTCGTATTGCTATGAAAAAACATGGTAACTTAATAACGGTCTATGTACTCAGATTTTCTGTACTGTTAATGTTAGTAAGCATAAAAAACACCTTGAAGTATTGCGTGTAAAAACACACAATTATTTGTCATTGTTTTTAGCGACTGATTTTTTTGGTTTCGCAACGATAACAATAACATATACGTATACGGTATAGCCTACACAAAGCACTTCTCTGAATCAATACACAACCACATAAACACATAAAATGTTTTCAAGACGTTTTTTTTGGAGATCTAGATTAGAATATCATAAGACCGAAGGTAGATCTAGAATAGAACTATAACATACGATCTTCTCGAAAATCTGTGGTCAAACTTTTTTTTTTTTGTTAAGGAAAAACCCCCAAAAAGGGGAAAATTACACTTTGACCTTAGTCGCATTCCAGGTTACTATGTGTGATCAGTGAATAAACACAATCAAAAGGTATTTGAAAATATTATCATTTGATTGTTTATAACGATATATAAGTAACAATAGCAGTATATTTTTATAGCATTTTCTAGTTTACACTAGAAAAAATTAAATCAACAGTGAAAGGGTTTAAAAACGTGCTTATACAGAGACACTTTAAGTAATATAGCATAAGTGAATATTATTTTATACTTACCTTTTTGTACATTCGAAGATAAAAATACAAAAATTATTACAAAGAAATTGATAAATTTCATTATGAAAACTTTTGATTTCAGAAGTAAAGCACAAAATCTTAAAAGTAGTACACGATAGCTACAACGTTTCAACACTGTGACTTATGTGCGCTCATTTTGATTTTAGTAAAAAAAAATGTCCACAGATGTGAAAAATAGTACAATATTATAACTGTCAAACATATCATATTCAATGTACAATACAGTATTTATTAAACATTTTTTTTTTGTTTATCACATTTAAAATATTGAGAAATTTAGATCCAAATAAAAAGTGTTTTTAAAATTAATACTATAATTTATAATTCTGACTGAATTGAAGTTTATATAAAACAAAACATTGTTTACTTTACATGATAAGGGTAGCGGGTTCATAGGCATTCTTTTAAAACAAATCAATAATTGGCTTTATCACATTAAATTATAATAATTGTTGGTCTTTAACCTTCCGGAATGCCAATATGATCCGTCCACACTATGCCCTGACCCAACTGTGAGGTCTTTTACTTTATTAGTTTTTATAATAAAGCAATACTGCCCTGATAAACAAAAGTACAGCTACAGAATATGAGTACAGTTGTTTTTTCATATGATTTATCGGTTTTGTACAACAATTTTTTTTCTAGTCACGGCACTTTTGGTTAGCAAGGCAGAAATAGTGTAAAAAAAAAATATATTTTTAAGTAACACCTGTGTGTTGTATCAATAAAAATCGTACCTGACGTCTACATTTTGCATTATATCTTATACGTGCCGAATCCAGAGTAGTGATTAAACGCAAAAAAAAAAAACAATCATTCTACGCTAAATAATAATAAATTATTATGTAAGGGTGATCCATCATTTAATGTAAGACGCTAATTTTTTTTTTTTTTAAATAATCGAATTTTCTAGTTTTTCTTTTTGAATATAATTGTGTATTAATGTTGCCTTACAGTATTATACATAATAAGGAAATATCTCTCTACTACACGTTGTCCACTTATAAAACATATTGATTGAAAATCGAAGTCGCCCGTAACCGTGTGTGCTTAGTTTTCGCCTGAAAAATACAAAAAAAATACACGCCTCGTCAAACCAAAAAAACGGACCGGGCAAAAAAACCTAACCACGAGTGTACGTTTAACACTGTTAGATTTAACTATATATATATATATATATATATATATATATATATATATATATATATATATATATATATATACCCTCCCCTTGTTAATAGAAAGAATAATATAATTCAAAAACTTTATAACTTCAAGTGTCTCAGCACAGAAAAAATCTAGAAATCACTAAGAAATCTGAAAAATATAATTATTCCTCCCTTTTGACCCCTTGGACATAATATATGGAAAAAATATATTGTCCTACATTACACGATTTGAAAGTTGGCAACTCACTTGGTGAGTAATCCACCTTTATATATTGTAATAAAGTTGTTTATACATTATAAAGGCCTTGTATGATAAAACATTATTTATTTTTATGAGAACACAAGCGGTCTGTTACTATGATATTTACTATTTCGTATTAAACAAATATATGTTTGCACGCCATATAAAATTTATCTTGTCAAACTTGTAATAAACCGGCTACATTCAGTTCGAAGCTCAGTCCTGCTCAAGTCTCGAGAAACAATCTAGAATGGACGAGAACAATCCGAAACCGACAGAAGATGAAAACATCACAAGGTTAGCGTGAAGCAGGGGCGTACCCCTATATAAAAAAAAAACAATTATGTTGAACAATAGATATACTCGTATTTAAAACAGTATTAGGTCAGAGTTAAATGTGTAAATAACCAGGTATACAAACAATAATGCGATGCTCTAGTTTGCGATCGAGGTATCTTAAAAATGTATAAATATATTATACATTGTTGTAAACAAATAAAAATTTGTCTACATATTTAAACAAGGCATGAAAAAAATATGTAAATTTAATTTATTTGGCCGGAAGTCTAAGTTTGTTTTCTAACTACCGACCTATATAATTATAACACTTGTTATAGTAGGAAAATATAGTGGGAAAATTATAGCAGTATTTTATAATATTAAAATCAAACTACAACAACAGAGGTGATCAATACTATATTAAAAAAAAAAAAAAAAAAAAAATGTATTTAATTGTTTGAAATTCATAATATTATCCAATCTATATAGTCGCTCTCCGTGTTTTTTTTTTTATTATTATAATATTATAAATTTATACTATAAATATATAAAAATAAATATACATGAATATAAAACTATATTATAATATAGCTGATAATGTCGTTGATTTCAAAATCGTAGGATACAGCCGTAGCCAACGAATAGAGTTGGGGGGGGGGGGTAGTAGTGGTAGAGAGATGGGTCGAAATAAAGTTAATTTTTAAGTTACTAATTTTTGTAACTCGTCTAGGATTTTGTCCAACTCGGTGTGCAATTTCTCCATGTCCTTATCATCCATAATGTCTTCTTGGGCGGCTCTGCTGTCCGGATCCTCAGCGCTGCCGTTGAGCCAAACCGACGATTGCTTGTTTACGGTAATGGCGATTTTGTTCGCACACGTCTGTTGTTTGTTGACGATGTCCGACAGCACGTCGGCTGCCGGTTCGGTGCACCTCGACAAGCTGCCGCTTCCGGTCCGCTGCTGCTCGTCCACGTTCTCTTTGTTGCCGGAAATGTGCGCACGGGTTTCCGGTAGTTTGGGCTGCTCCACGTATGTGCCGTTTAACATTTGGTCGTCGTACATGTTGACCGCCCTCTTCGGGCCCAGCCAATGTGAAAATTCGTTTACATCCGACTTGACAGTGAACTCACCGCCGAGTTTTTCGGCATACAAAGTGCTCAGAGCGCTAATGCAATTACTGGGAGCCAACGCCGAAGACGAACCACCTGTCGCATCTGAATAAATGGGAGACAGATTGGCCACCGCTATTGTCTCCTTGTGGTGGTCCACGCCCGCTGGTCTGGACAGCAAGAGAGGCGTGCTCTGCATGCGTTTCATTTTTCCACGGCTGAACGTACCGCTCAAATGATTCTACGAACAAGATTAGCACACAATTAACACACTGAGGTGGACTAACGCTTTACCGGCCAACCATCACACATAACTCAACCGAAGGGCCAAAAATCAGCCCTCGATCATTACTGCTGATCAATGAAACGATTGGACTATGGAAATTGGAAACTCTGAGCAGAAGAACGATACCACAAATTCAAACCACAAGAAAAAAAAAGTTAGCGGGAATTTGAGCATCAAAATAAACACTAAACCTCTAAAAGCATCCAATCACAGGTAAGGAGACAACAGCAGAAGCGAGATACCCAAAGTTCCTTGACGAGTCACAGCCAGGCACTAAGAGAAACCATTTAAGATGCCACAAACTCCAATGGCCACGGAGATCATAAAACCTGTTTTTCAATCTGTTAAATACGCATCAAAATTGCAAAAAAACTGGCAGTAATGATTCGTTGTTTATATCAAAATGTTCAAGGTTTACTAACTTTTAAATGTTTTAGTCGGGTAAGCTGTCGTTCGATTTTGCTTCTGTGTTGATTCAAAAATACTTCAAATTGAGAGTCGCCACGTTTTAGAGTGTTCACTTTGATTTCCAGCAATCTAAAACAACAATAATAAATTAGGTATAACACCGTATGTAAGTCTTGAGGTATATAATATAAATGTATTTTTGATTTTTGTACATTAAATATCTGGACAAGATAGTACACGGTAGTTTTATACTGCGATTATATTAAAGTCTCGGATGGTCTGTCGAAACAAAAAAAAAATGAGTCGCCAAATGCGATCAACTATAATAAAAAAGAAGAATAAATATCAACGACATTCCTAAGTGAGAGAAATATAAATTATTGTATAATGTATTAAAAAAATGTTCAGCCGATGCTGAATAAATTACTATAAAGATACATATCTTCATATCTTTATAGTCGATGTACTTGTTATAATCTAGTGTGGATTGTATTTTACATTTAGCTCGTAATTAATAAAAAAATATTGTAATTAACTTGTAAGTTATTTTCTTTCTATGAATTAATTCATCCAACAGAGAACTAAATCATATAGAATGTTTTCTACCAAAAAAATGTTTTTTTCCTACAAAATCTACCAATAATTTTAAATACACTATATGTATTATAATCACAAGAGACATTAATAGCATCATTAATACGTAATTAATTTGATATGAGATCCCAATTAAAAACTATTAGCTAATGATCAATGATGACCTAATCATAATATAATCACAATTTATACAATCGTAGTACACATAATTTAAGTACAAATGTTTAATATATAAACATTGATTTTACATTTAATAACTAAAGCTGGACGATAATATATTCTCAGGGACTCACGTGGAACGTGAATATTGGACGCGTTAATTAAAAAATAAGTCTAAAATAAAATGTTTACTATTATTTTGGTAAATCATGAACATCTAGCAAAATAATTTTAGCACCACTATAATATTCATAACAAGTAATTGCCCATATAAGAATAGTCATCACAGACATTAATATTAGAGCGTGGTGGAATGTAAACAATACTGATTAAAAGTATAGAAGAATCGATTGATAGTTTTACAATGAATTACGCATTGTTGTTATTATGGATTGTTATTCGACAGCAATTATAAATGTTTTTTTATGTCAATCAGAATTCAGCCTTTGACATCATTGTGTAGCCAAATTTCTGATAAAACAATAATGTCAAAGTTCACCAAAGCAGTGAAACGAGCAAAAACGTCCAGTTTAGTATTTATGCCGCCGACGTTTCAGTAAAGTAGTAATGTATATAATATTTCAATTAAAATTTTAACTAAGAACATACAAATGAACAAATTGGTTGATCGAATAGGAAATTGTATAATATTTTAATACGACCAACAAAACTATTTAAAAAAAAAAAAAAATGTTTGAACGTGGGTTACGTTAAATTGATAATTGACCAAAAAAATTAAATAACAAAAATACATAGACGGGTAACAATAATAAGAATATTAACTTTTATGAGATAAGAATTATAGAGTTCTTAAATATTTTTTCTGTTTTTCTTTAATGAAAAAAAAAACAGTTAAACTACAGATTTTGTAATATTTTTCTATATTTATAATACTGCCGTGTTATCTTTAGTATAATTTTTAGACCTTAAGTCCCAATAACTCCATCGAAGCTAAACTAATTCCAATTACATTAAGATACTATACTTTAATGCTACATCAAAGTAATATTATCTTTTTAAAAACTACTCGACCCATCAACTTAGATTTCGAAAAATATATTGTTTGACCTGACCTACTATATTTAAATTATAATATTTTTTTTAGGTGCATGATAAATAACTAAAACAGATAATACAGTTAATTTCTTGGCAATACGAATTAATTTCTTTTTTTGGCACAATATAGATTTCAGCCATGGTATAACTAAATATTAATTTTTAATAAAAAAATAAGCCAATGCATGTAGGATATCCCCCGCTTTCCCTTCCTGGCTACTGTATGGCCTACAAAAAAAAAGCTTTGTCAATATTATTTACTGTTTTTTTATCTATTGACTTATATGTATAGTTTTTTCTTCGAGTACCTAAGATAAGTTATCGATAAACCACAAGTCGTAGTATGCATTCGATGAAAAAATATGTAAAATATAATTTATCGTTTTATATTAGGTATTGTTATCCTTACAATGTGAAAGACGTTATAGAAAAATACTTTGAAACGTAATCCGAACACAATTGTTTTCTTAAGCTGTATAAATTATCTTCTTTAGGTTAATACCAAGAAAACAATTATACTATGAAATATTTTTTAAGAGTATGGCAAATAAATGCTTAAGTTAATACAAGTAGGAACTCAAGTACAAGAAACGATACGGTATTTATTACATGCTTTTCTAATCGCTAACACGCACGACGTTTGTACGGGTATTTTTCAAATCTTGCAAAATTAATTTAACACACTCCCAATATCGTAGAAGGCTGAAATTGAACTTAGACACTCATTTTATATGACAATACAATGTTCTGTCATAATATTGGGACCTGAACATCCAATGCCGGGGGGTCAAGCATTTGCGACCTATAATTGGGGTCATTTCACTAAAATTTCATGTTTGTTTTTTCAAATCTTCCAAAATGAATTTGATAATCTATTCACAATTATTAAGAACCTTTAATATGACTAAAAGGTAAAAAATAAACAATAATAATATACAAATAAGATGTTATTTTTCTTTTAAGGACAAGCTATAATAGTACCTATAACGGTATAATAAATGTTCAAAACAATAATTGTTGGTTTATTATTTAGACTGGTGTGTAAGTTTAAACGATTCTAAAGAGTTTAATAGTGTATTTGTTTATTAAAAATCAAATATTATACTTAAAAAAAAAAAGTTACACTACACATTCTGCATTAAACCCGGGAAAATGTTTAGTTTGTTATTTGCTCTAATGTAAATTTTTGTTTGATATAAGTGTATAGACCATGTATTTATTACTAAACCATAATGTGCACTTTTGTCCATCGAACTGGACAGTTTTTATTTTAATGATGAACAATAAATTATTATATATTCATAAAAATATTCCTTAATAAAATAATTTTCGTTTCCAAAGTATAAATTAACAAACATACCGGTTTTCTCTTTCGATTTGAGATATGACACTCTGCAGTTCTTGACGAGGCGACTTAACTGTAGCCGAATCTAATGACGAGCTCGATTCTCTAGCCCACACACCGCTAAAATAAAAATAAATTATTTAAAACATTTTTTTATTTTGACACTAAAATCTGTTAGAAAAATCATAGTTCAAGTGCGGTTTTTTTTTACTTTTCCGTTAAAAGCGAGAAGAGTAAACGAGTCTAGCTGAGTTACGATTTTTACTTAAGCAAACTATGTATTACTAATATTTGTTCCAAGTCCAAAATTGATAAACAAATGTTAATAATAGTATCGCGGATATTCTTATGGATATAATTTGAGTACAAGATGGGTAAACACCCTAATTCGTTTTTTTCAAACTTCTATCTGCCTAATTGTCCATCGCTATTTTTTTTTTTGGTACAGTTGTATCATAAATTGGTTGTACATATTTGTAATAAGTTTATGTTACTTTGACCTTTTAAACGGTAAAAATGGGAAATTATCTTTACAAATTATGTACAAATTTCTTTGAATACGGGTTGCTATTCAGTAAACACGATAAAAATATTATGTAAACATGTTGTACTCGTGCTCATATCTATTTCGCAATAAAATCACATATTATTAGTAATTTATAATTAATAAAATTGTTGTTAAATATCTTCGATTAAAAGCCGAGATTACTTAATAGGTATAACTTAATCGTATAGTATATATTATTAGTTATTTTATATTTTATTGTGTACATATATTATGTAATCGCAGTGCTACAATGATGGAGTGTTATAGAAAAAAAACTTTATTATACACTTAAGCAGTGTTGTTTTATTACTGTTCAAAATAATGACGGTAATTATCGGATAATTTACTGAAAGTTTAAATTTTAGAGGTGGACAATTTTTTTAAAATCCGTCCTATATAGTGTAAATAAATTTGAATTATACTTTTCAGATAAACTCTCTATAAAAAAATAGTATATATATATATATATATATTGATCACAGTCTTATGGTTTTTGAGTCAGTAATTTTTTTTTCGTTAATTGTAAAATATCCATAAACGTATGTCACAATAGGTTTGATCAATTAAAAATAAACAAAACATTGACAATAATTAAAAACATACCTACATTAAACCAAAACAAAACTTTACCTTGTGTCGCCTGACAAGTTTTATTTTAGCCACAATGGTAGCCGAAAACAAAATTTAGTTACATAATAATTTTAAAAAAATATAGCTTCATAGGCGCAAATACGGGGGGAGGGCTAGGGTGGGCTTAGCCCCTCCAAAAAAATTAGGTTATGCGTACAATTTTGAAATACAAAAATATATTTACTTATATATATATTTTAAAAAAATGTCCAGCCCCCCCAAATTAAAAATTGAAATTGCGCCTAAGTATAGCTTCTAATTTAAAAAATGACAATTGTTTTTCTATATGACCATTATTAAACGAGATACGATTTTGTAAAACAAAAAAATCCACATTTCGTACAAGAAAAACCTAACTGTTGACATCCTTACTTATACCCGTCAAGTATAAGCTAATAAATTCCTGTAAACAATTTTTTTTAAACGTTTGTAATGACTTAATTTTGATACCTAAATTTCCTTCTCGGACCACTGTGCCGTCACTTGTAGGTAATAGAATACCAATTTAATACTAAATACAAGTGAAATAATATTATCTTTTAAGAAATTAGCAACATCGAAATTGATTCGCGTTATTTTGTTGCTTATTATTATTACTATGGTTCAACTGCATTCGCGTGTACTGATTCTAATAACCGATTGCTCTAAGACCAATAAGAGATAACAACTAGTTCAAATAGAAGTGTTTCCCGGCATAACACTGCAGTCGCCAGTCAAACGGAGTTGGTATTTTTATTTACATTTCTCATATTATTATTGCAAACACATCACACGCAGTAGCAATTTAAAAGTTTAGCTCGCATTATAAAAACATACAATAAAATATGATTAGTCCATGACGAATTGGTGCTTACGGCTAGTCAACTTTCTTGTCAACGAAATTATTAAAAAAAAAAAATAATAATAACATTTTTGCACTCGTTTTCCAAATTACTACATTTGTAAAAAATGGTAAAAACGCATTTGCACACGAATTTAACCGCCAAAACTTTTACTATTATTATTACTATTGTATAGGACAGATGTCACGACTTCATAACCAGTCTTATGGTGCCAAACTATTTGAATTTCGAATCGGAATACGACGAAACGGCCAAGAAGATCAATGATCTAAACAATACCATTCAGACGGTAAATCAAATTGTTGTTTTGTAAAACGTTATACTCTTACTAGACTACTTAATTTTTTTTTTTTACTAATTTCATAAATGGCTAATATAAATTACGGTTTACATCATAGGCTACAGCTAAAAGTAACCGGATCGTCGCCAAAAATATGTTTTGTTTAAAAGTGAACAATGTTTTAAAAAAACTCATAACGAATAATTTTTTTTTTTGTAACCATCTAAAAAAAACTTTGCTCTATCCTAAAGCAAGATCATTGCGAATTTCAATATTTTGCGTTGAATTGAAGCTTTTAAATGTTGTTAAATATGTATTAATACAGTGAACTTGGTTGATTAATCAACACTAAAAATAATTTTAAAAAAAACTGAGTGGGTCACGGGACCCTCGGTAGGAACGAAGTTCAGATATCATATGGTTGCATTCGATTAATTTATAAAAAGTGATTGATATAAAATCTTTTTATCATATGTATATTATTATATATTACTAAATCTCGCATTCTATCATAGAAATTATTGATTTATGATGACTAAAATATGAGACGTATATTTTTGACTCAATTTTGTTCAAATATCTGGAAAAACAGCATCAATAGTTGTACCATGTTTTGTCGTAGATTGTGTAGGATCACTGTTCAGAGACAAATTAAACGTTTCAAAAAGAACATTTTATTCTTTATTAAAAATATAAATATATTATAATATTCTTTATGAAGTTCCGAACGTCCTGTAGTAAAACGGGTGAAAGAATTTTAATTAAGGAAAAAGAAATGTGTAAGCAGTAACACGTGAGAATGAATTTGAAGTGAGGAATAAGAAAAAATCATTAACGTGCCAAGCTCTCATTCTCTCTACCCACCCCTTTCTTTAATTTTGATTACTGATGCAATAAATAACTTTACTCATAAATTTATTTGTCAGAGAGTCACTGTTTCAAGCATCTCAGTAGATAGTGAGAAAAAGGAAGAGAGATAAAGAGACAGTGCAAGTTATCAGCCAGTTATCAAGTACTTTTAAGGGTAAAAATGTATTCTGTAGTAATAAAATATAAATATTTTATACGTTTTTAGACTTATTGCAGTATAAATTACCATAAAAGTTGAAAAAAAATGCAAAAAGTATTGAGAGGGTAGCCGGATTTGAACCCGGTACCACTCACTCCTGGGAACCGATCACGCTCGACCGCACTACATATAGTTTTCATGACGCTTTTTTATAACGCGTAACATTTTTTCTCGGCTAGGTCCCCTCGCCAACCCGCGATAACATAGGCGCAATTTCAATTTTTAACTTGGGGGGGCTGGAAATTTTTTTAAAATATATGTATATAAGTAAATATATTTTTGTATTTCAAAATTGTTTGCATAACCTAATTTTTTTGGGGGGACTAAGCCCACCCTAGCCCCCCCCCCGTATTTGCGCCTATGCGCGATAAGGAACTTCGTTCCAAAAGGCTGAAAAATTCGCGATGAAGAAGTCACCCTGTATGTATATCACACGTGGGGTTTAATATTACATCTAAAATAATGAGCAATTGTTGATTTCTTTTTTATGAAATTAAGCGTTTTATTTTATTTATAAGCCAATTTCTTTTTATAGTATTATACGGTCTTAGTTTAGGAATCGTTTATTGAAAACAAGTTCACTTTTCTTAAATCAAATTCGATAAAAAAAAGCCCACCATAGTAGTAGGAACACTCAGATTTTTGAGGATATTTTATATATAAATACATTTGTACAAACTCGTACACGAATATTTTATTTATGAAATGTGCCAAATATAAAATCTCAAACTTTTGAAGAAAAAAAAACAACTACAATATTTACACAATGTGGCGGATACTCCCACTTGAAAAGCTTTATTTTTTTACCTCTGATATAAGGACATAAGGTCATTAGGTCATCGTAAGGGTTTTGAAAAAAAAGAGTCTATTTTCATGACACTTAAAAAAGGTATGTGACTACAACTTTAGTTCACCCGGCTAACGAAGGGTTAAATAAAAAAAAAATTAGGCCAAAAATGTTACTTAACGCCTTCCACAAAATATACTATTCCTACATAGATACACGCCGCGTAAATTTCTTATTTCATTAAACAACTCGTTGAAGTATACATTCTTTAATTAGAAGTCTAAATAGATTAAATTAAAACTAAAATGATTAATTTGATGTGATACACTGAATGGACCCTCTACATTTAACATGAAACATATTAAATTTAATTACTGAACATTATAACTATAAAGATTTAAAGTATTAGTAATCATAATGTTTGCTCTTAGTATTCACACAAGATCAAAATCGACTGGTCGGCAGAAGATTATCGGTTGATGTGTATCACAACGCCTCAGCAGAAGTTCAAAAACATAAATGCCACATTGACAAAAACAAAACAGAGTGAGACTGTAGCAAAAATTGTTTAAAAATATTGTACATACTAATCACTAAGTATATTATACATAGTTAGTAATTAATGCAATAGTTTAATTATGCACTAGACATTCTGAGCAAACTAATTAAATTATTCATCTAACTAAATACATGTTTCGCCTATTGCACACAATAAGTACCATTAAAGTTGTACAAAAAGAATATATCCTTATTTTATTGACCGCGGGTACATCATATAGTTTCCTTTGAACTCATGCATTATATTAATTAGTATATATACCCAATTATTATTGATTAATTTATAATAAATGTTATATAATGGCAATGTTTTAGTTAATAATAATGACAAATTACTTTTGATTCGGTTCTCCAATTTCTTCACACGGTGTATCGACGGGAAGATATTTCATCTTGGAAGTTAAGCCAAAAAGCCTTCCTAAAAACGATTTTAAATACTGAGTGTACAACTGTTGAGGTGTTTCCTGTGCGTCAAAAAAAAAAAAACAATCATAAAAATGTCGTACAAACATAAGATGTGATAAAATATATCTTAAATTATATTTTTAAAAGTATAATTATAAATATACTGACCAACCAGCAATATTCTTGCATAGCGTGTTTCAATTTGTGTTTTTTATTTGTGGCGCCGACCAAAAAGCACTTTTGACATTGGTTGTAATTCACACACTTCAAACAAAAGTAACGGAGACCTATTACGGACGATTTGCAAACTTTGCAACTGACATTGTGATCGACTGAAAATTAGAAAAACCTTTTCCTTATTAACTAAAAAAATGCAGTGAATTTTCAATTAAAAATCGAAAAATATTTTTCGATATTTGTGTAATTGACGTAAGGGGTCAATTAATGTGCACACATTTATTTACCATTTTCTGCCATTTTTAATCGATAGAAAATTTGTAACCACTCTAATACAGGTGGTTCTGTCATGAACCATTGCATAAACTGACCTTCATCGATAGTGATTGGATTATGAAACTAAAAAAATTTTTTAAAAACAAAATGGTGGTTAAAATAACATCAAGACACAAAACGATAATAATAATAATAGCAAATAAGTGTATACAATTAATTACCTTACTAAAACATGCATCGACAACGCTATCGATCGATATTGATTCGAAAACATTGTTTTCACACAAGAAACTAAGTAACAAACTAAGATCTCTTAGTAAGTACTTTAAACAGTCTTTGGTAAATCCTAATTTAACACAATTGATTTGAAACAAATAACCTAGTCTCGATCGCAGCCGATCGCATAGTAAACACGTTATTACCGTTAAAGCAGATCTTAGATTTATTTTTTTGGTAGAATACCTAAAAATGAAAATTACTTTACAATTTATAATAATTGTTCCGGTTATAATGATACTATTGCAGTCGAACATTGTTGACAACCTACTTAGAAAATATTTGCCCTAAGATCTTGACTAAACTCAAAGTAGATGTTTCTTCATTCATTTTCAAATCGGGGTTGTCTCTTTTTACTGCAAAAAATACGTCGGATATAATATCTTCTAACGTACTTTTATCTATAAGGTTTTGCTCATTTCCTTTATGCTGTTCGTAGACTCCATTTAGTATATACAACGGTACTCGGTCCACTGCAACATAACACAATTAATATTGTTAAAAATTAACAAAAAAATTAGTGTTACTATTTTCAAAGACTATAGAGATAATTAAAAATTGAAAATGCATATGTATATATATGTATATACAGATCTTTCATAAAACGGCTCTAATGATTTCTTTAAAAAAAAAAAAATTAAAAACTAATAATTAGTATTTGTATTATAATTGATAAAGTGTTTTTTACAAATATACAAACAATTTAGGTAAACATTTTAACTGCTGTAATGCATATAATAATCATTTGTAAAAAAAGAAAAGGTCTACAAAAGCAAATTGATTGACAAAAAGATAATACGAATAATCAAATGTTGTTTCATAGTAAATAATAAATCAACAATCGGAAATAGTTATATTTTATTATTAAAATATAAAATATTATGTAGTTTAAATAAAACTAAAAATTTATAAAAAGATATTAATTTTGAATAGATATTTTTATTCAATTTATTAAGATTTATTTTTCATCACACAACAAGTTTTTGGCGGCAACACTGTGTGCGTTATCAGAACAACAATAATGGTTAAACCAATTAACCAACACATCAACAATGATAACGTGTCAAAACGAAAATGATAACACATTACCAAAACATTAAACGAGACATTTTCAACTTAAAACTGTAAAAAATATACTTTAATATTTTAATTTGTTTTAAACTAAAAATTCTATTTAACAAGACGACAAAATGACGAATAAGTCGCAAGTATTGACTACCACGAATTTACCAATGTACTCCATTCAGACGTTCCTCAGAAACTACATACTAGTGGCGGGAGGCGGCGGATCGAGCAAAACAGGAATAACTAATGGTTTCGAGGTGTACAAAATTTGCAAAGACGGAAAATCGTTAACGATGAGAAAAGTCATACGTCACGACAGCGGTCCGTGTGTAATCATGAACAACTGTTGTTATAAAAACGGTAGTAAAATATATATTATATGCAACGAAGACGACAAGTGTCGGCAGTATACAGCTGACATTATTTTAGAACCGTCATTCGGTAATGGAAAAACCACTAAAGAATTGAATTTCCAAATATCCACAGGACGCTCGTTAGTTACAGATTTCAACGAGGACGAACCACTCCAAAGAATCGTCAAGGTAAATAGCTCTGGTAACATAATGGTAACCGGTGGTACCGATGGTTGTATTCGTCTTTGGAACTTTCCCATCAAAGAAGACAATAATCCAGAACCTCTGAAGGTTTTCACGGGACACACAAAAGAAATTGATGATATCGACATTAGTTCTGATGGAGCGTCCATAGCGAGTGTCGCAAAAGACGGACAAGCGTTTCATTGGAACACAGTAACTAATACAAAATCTAATCTTTTACATCCGACAAACAAAAAGCAAATATTTAAACGATGTAGATTCGGTATTATCAATGATAAGCCGACCTATAATATCTATACAATAGCCAACGGTCCTAATCAAAAGTCATTCCTACAAAGATGGTCTTATGATAATAAAATTATTTACGAGTTTCAATTCGCTGAACCTACGTCAGCACTAGCGGTGCGTGAAGACGGCTTGTACATTGCTGTGGGTACAATGTTTTCTGGTAGTGTTAGTATTCATGAAGCATACGACTTAAAAATGATATACAGCGTCAAACAAGCGCACGCCATGTTTGTGACGGGGCTCGAATTTTTAAACAAAGATTTTGTGCCAGAAACTAAAGCAGCTGTTTTGTCAATATCTGTCGATAACCGAATTTGTTTCCACAATGTGCCATGTAAGACTTTGGTATCTTTTTGGAAATTGTTTATAATTATTCATTTTATATTACTTTTATTTTATATAATTATTTTCAACTCTTAGTAAAATAAGTTGTATAAATAGAGCAACTTGCATAAGTTCCTCACTGTTGTTATTTAATTATATAATTTTATGAGTATTGGAATTATCAAAATACATTTTTTTTTTTAAATACTTGTTATTTATTACCAACACGAGTATATAAATTTTCATTTTATAGATTTTTTTATTGCGCATATGTTTAAGGATCATTTTGTAAAAAAAATCACAATATAAAAAAAAATGTACCAAACTTATTTGTTGAATTTTTATAAACATGATCTGAACTTGACTACAATTTTAGTTGAATATATTTAAAATGATAGCTATTAATTATAATTTAAGTACTGAAAATGTGAGACAAAACTAATCAAACCTGGTCATTATTTATTTATATACTCAAATAATTATTAAAAATAAAATTATATAACTTGGTATAATATTATTTAATAATGAATACAATTTTATTGTTATTTGATCAAATATCCAAATAAAAGTTTGAAATACAATTTCATGTGAAAGAATTTAAACAACAAATACTTAACAGATTATTTAAAATTATAAATAATAAATAATGTTTTATTTCAAACAGTAAAGAAAATTGTATTTTAAATAAAAATGTATTTGATATACAATTAACTAATTTATTTAACTACTTTTTCTCACTTATGGCAGTTATTCTAAACTAAATATCTAAAACAAATATCTTATTCCAAAAAAAGATATTTGGAAACATTTTTTTTTTTTAAGTTATTATCGT